TTTGGCTATGGTAAAATTTTATTATATTCAAAGTAAGAACCTTTCCTCTTGCTATCTCGTAACTGTCAGATAGTCTAGATCTTTCCGCCTTCCCTGCGTCTTAATGCCTTGTATCCAAAGACTAAGTGACAGATTGATAGCTCAGTGCTAATACCATGCCTGCTCTGTCAGACTGAGAAAGGCCATGTCTTCTCTCTTCCATTCAGAACTTACATGACAGGAGTGTAAGTCATAAGGAGCACTGGAGCCATTATAACATCATCCTCATCCGTTAGTAAGTGGATTATGGGCCTCGAGCGCTGGCATGCTTTGATATGTGGTTTGGTTTTATTGGCTCTATAAGAGGACACAGTCCACTTAGTCCTCACTTTGATTCCAAGTAATGCCTGGCATTAGACTGTTTTTTCCATATCGTCTGTATTAGCCCTTCTGTGCACGGGCGCTAATGCATGTTGATGGCTTTGAATTACATTTGTCACTGAGGTAGATTTGATTGAGAACCGTTGGAAGTACTTGACATTTGACATCTTATTCCAGTTTAGTCAGTGATGAATGAAACAACGGCGGTGCTCAACATTAAATCTCGGCTTTAATAGTTTAAATGCTCACTTGTCAAGTTAGAAAAATTCCTCAACATTACTCTTTATTTTACCGTATTAATTACAACAACAGTCGGATTAAACCTCTTTTCCAACAATAAAATGATGAGACATTCGTTTATCAGAGAGAATGTGTCATTGTTCAGCAAAAGTATGTGTGAACATGTTTACACATATATAAAATTGCATTCAAATCCCCCTGTGTTAGGCCACTCCTATTACCAAAATTAACTCTCCCACCCCACCACCCCCCCCTCACCGTTCTGACAGATCGTTTATCCAGTGTCCTTCCACCTCCCCCTCTCTCCTTCTACACCGGACGTGTTTCAGACACATTTTTTAGTCGCCCCGTCTCACTTTTAATCAATACAGATGTCTACGCAGGTGGTATTGTGTATCACTGGAGCCGCCGTCATCTGCTGTTGGTTGCACACTTTTAATCTCTCTCTTCAAATTACAACTCGAAACGTAGAGCTATGAATTTTAGATTGTAGCCACCACGGTCGGTAACACCAGGATTTCCATCATTCATTTGGGACGGTCGGAAAGAATGAAACGGACATCAGACAGTTACGTCTGAGCAGGAGGGGCCTCTGGAGTGAAAGTGAAGAGTGAATATGATGTTACCTTGTGCTTTACAAGGCAAAGTCACCACAGAAAGGCACAGACAGAACCATAGTTGCATTTAACACTGAGGACTGGGACAAGAATCAATCGATGGTATAATAAAGTGACTGCAGTAAATTTAATTTACTTTATTTACTTAAAAAGTTTAAAAAAAGAATATTTCCTGGCGACCTTAAGTTTACTCTCCTGCTAGCTTTGTTTTGGCCTTCACCAACTCCTGAGAGAAATATCTGTCTTATTTAGCAGATTAATGCTAAATGCTAGATATTACAGAGTGGGAATATTAGAGCCTTTTTCTTTAAAATAGCTTCCTGTTGCAACTGGAAATGAGCTCGATGAGACTTGTGAGGCTGAACCTAGACAGCCTGCAAAAACCAAAACAATAAGAAATGAATAAGGTAAAATTAAAGATGCTAATATTCTTTGTAGAGACTGCAGAGTTTGGTGAAAAATCTTTGTTAGTACGTAAGTGACATTACATCGTTATTTCATCCACTGGTAATACAGAATATTGATTAGTGCAGCTTTAAGCATGAAATGTGTGTTTGGGTTATTTGTACGTGCAGTAGACTCGGATCTACGGTTACCACAGATCAGCTGTTTGAGTCAGACAGAGCTGAGTGTAGGTACGTAGGAGCGCTTGTGCGTAGGAATACGATCATTCAGCGGTTGAAAAAATGTAGTTCCAAGATGACATCAAGATAAAGTGGTGAAAATATTCAAAATAAAGCGTACAATCAAAGTGATTTAAACTGATGTTATCTTTTTTCTGTGGGCATTTGTTTTAAAGGCTAAAACAGTGCTGCTTCTCTAAACTGGGAGCGCACTGATCTGAATCTACTGACGATAGATAACTACCTCACACAACCGCACGTCAAATAACCCGAACTATCACTATCACACGTACGTCATCAAGCACAGCTTCATTTTGTCGCATCTCACAAGGAGACTGAAGACATAGAAATGCAGATGTGTAGATGTGATGTTACCCTTTTTTTGCTGGGTAACATAATGCATGATTCGGCATGCGGTCATTGTTCTGTGTGAGCGTGAACTGGAGACACTTCATCAGTGACTTTCTGAAGTGCTGAAAATGTAATCATTCAAAAGCAAATGACTGTGGTCTCCTCTCTGACCACCGTGCACGGAGATTTCCTGCGTAAGTGGCCTCATATCAGGCTGTCATTTGTTAATGTCCTTGACTATGCAGATTAAGCAAACAATTTATGCAAATAGACCTCCGCTTTAAATTAATATGAGCATCTGAAACCCACATTTTTATTCTGCCAGGGAACTCCTAATATATTTGAAAAAGGGATCTTTTAAATGTTAATTACTGATTAAAATCCATTTTTCCTTTCATCATTTTTGCTTATCTTTCTGTAACCCTGCTTGTTTGACTGAACCTGTGCTGGAGTTTAATTCAAATGTATTTCTTTCATTCTTTTTAAATCGGTTTTCACTTAATCCTTGTCATTATACTGTTTGTTTTTGACTATTGTCAAATGTCATTAGGTAGCTCGTTTTGTTTTTAGAATTTTTAATTACATTAAAAAAAAAAGAAAGGAAAACACAAGTGAAATTCTGGATCACTGTGCGTCATGACAGGGTGAGTGTTGTTCAGCCAGTAAAGACAGTAACATCTGTATGCATCTGGCTGGAGGGAGACCCAGTTCTTTTTGTTCTAATTTTAAATGGGCTTGTAACTGTCTGACTGAGATGGATTCACTCTTCTTTTTTCTTTTTTTTAAACCCATCTCCAGTGGCAAATTGCTGCCGTCTCTCTATCTCTTTGTGCTGTCACCTTGACATTTTCATAACTCTTTTTGACATTTTTCAAATTGTACAAAGTATCCGATTTTGATTTCCGCTCTCAGCTGGGTAGCATCAGATTAGGCACGAGGATGTGGTAAATTGCGCATACTGTACAGGCAGCATTATGTCTTCAAGTCCAAATTATAGTCGTGTCTGCGTTTTATCTTGTTCCTGTCACTTTTCTCTAAATTGTTCCTTTCTGTAACCTTACAAATGCAAATAATGGAATTAGATAAAGAAGGAGTAAAATCAAACTGCCCAGAAATCTGCTCTCACTGTTTTCTTTCATGGGGAAATATGGTCTGATATTCAAACTGACAACCCTTGTCTCTTCCCCTGTGTTTCCACAGGCTATGTGCTTTTGACTTGACTTGACTGTGATCCATATCCGCCTCCTTGGCCAGATTCTCTGACTCTGCTTGCTCTCGCCTTTTCCGCTCCGTCTTTGACTCTCTCTGTCTCTCTTCTCTCTTCCTCTCCACTTCCTGTCAGATTCTGTCTCTGTCCCCCTGCTAACCTGTCCTCGGGACAGGCTCAATGTCCTTCATCTGTCCATCTAGTGCCCACGCCCGTCCTCCACACCCTTAGGTTGTGGATGCTGCTGCATCCCCCCAACCCCAGAAACTGCCTCATAAGTCATTAAAATCAGACAGGAAATGAGTAAAATAAAAGTGGTCATGTGAAATGACCCAGTCATCTGGTATCAGTGCTTCCTGGAGTACATCCCTGAGCTGATATTTAAAGTCACAATAAACTTCCATCTTCTGTATTTCCAGTAAACAGCTTTTGTGATAGTCAGTTGACCCGTGTAGATCACACGGCTCTGAGGAGGAAACTTTAGAAATGATGATGATTCCAGTTTGATGCAACTTGGGCCGAGTTGATGTCTGTTATCTGGAAATGTGGCAGCATCGCTAAAAAAGACGTCAGACGGGGGAACGAAAAGCAACCAGTGGTTACTTTGCAAATGCTGATGGCCTCCATTAGAGATGAATGAAACTGAACCTGCCAAAAAGAAATAAAACTCTTACTGTACACAGTGAAAGCTACTTAGCATATGGTTTTTACAGACAGGGTTCGTCCGTCATTATCTGAATTTTCAATCAGCCATTCCCAGCATCTTATCTGCGCCAGCTGACTTTGTCATCCCTGAAATACATGGAAAACAAAAGAAAGAAATGTCAAATGTCAGCGGAGTATCTTCGATCTCTGCGCGCGTCAAGTCTTGTCATCGCTGTGAGAATGCCAGGAAACCGGCAGGAGTCCGGGAAGTTACTGCGCTCGGCCATGAAACAGTCCAGAACATGATCGGCTATTAAACCACAACTTGTGATTTTTATTCTTCTTGCACAGATTAAATAAATGAGAAAGAGCTGCTTCCCCCCTTGTTTCCAGTCTAGATGCTAAGGCAAGCGAAGCGGCTGCTGACTGCAGCTACATTCAATAGTTATTATACAGGTGTGAAAGAACAAATGAGAATATTTCCCAAAATCATCAAATTATTCCTTCAAAAAGTTAAGAATGGTTTAGCATTGATCTTATATGTTCAGTGGGTGTCCAGTCTGTTTAAAGAGAACTAATCCCTGAATATAAGTAGTGTGTTATAGCTGTTGACCTTTGCACACATTCCACATGGCTTTAAATCACTAACAATCCGTCAGCAGCCATGTTCTGAACTTCCCTGTCCTTTGTTTCAAGGTGAAACGTTTGCACAGTAGCATGAGAGCGACTGTCGTTTAGAAACACTGTATGTGTTATTCTCTAAATTGCATTGGCAATGTTTTTCAGATTGTACTGTTGGCATCGTGACTGTGACTTTGATCCGTATTCTACTTGGCAAGAGTCTCGGACTCTGTTCTCGCCTTTGACTCTCTCTCTCTCTCTCTGTCTCTCTGCTTTTTTCTCTTCTCCCTTTTTTTTTTCTGTCTCCGCTCCAAATGCCGCCCTCTTCCCCCTCAGGGCGGGATGATCGCCCTTCTGCTGTCCATCCTCTGCCTGGTCCTGATCCTCTACACCCGCAGGCGCTGGTGTAAACGCCGCCGCATCCCTCAGCCCCAGAAGAGCGCCAGCGCCGAGGCGGCTAATGAGATCCACTACATCCCCTCAGTGCTGATGGGAGGCCAGGCCCGGGAGAGCCTGAGGAACTCCCGGGGTCAGGGGCCGAACTCCAGCGGCACCCTCAGCATCCGGGAGACCCCGATTCTGGATGGGTACAGGCGGGGTTTGGGTGGATGGTGGATGAATGAAATCTGAAAAAATGAGCACATGAATTATCTGAAAGTGACCAGATTATATATAAAAAATGACATTTTACATTGGTTCGACTTGTTGACTGATATTTATTCTAATGTAGGTAAGTCAGAATAACATGACAGTAATTGATGTCTGCCTCATCCCCAGGTATGAGTACGACATTACTGACCTACGTCACCATCTGCAGAGGGAATGTATGAACGGCGGCGAGGAGTTTGCCAGCCAAGTCACCCGTACCCTGGACTCCCTCCAGGGCTGTAATGACAAGAATAATATGGACCTCGCACCTGGTAAGTTGACAGATGCACAAACAGCAAGGTCAGAAGAGACAGAGTATAAAACAAAACAAAATAAAAAGCAGCCTTAAAGCTTCACTAAACAATATTATTTAAATTAACGGCGAATCAAATAGACTGCATTATGACCAGAGCGAGCTCCGGCCTGTGGCTACACATCCCCACACGCAGCAGGGTGCGATGCATTCAGTGTTTCAGTGTTGTGACACATTCCTCCCATAACCATCATTAAAATTTTCTGCGACTTTCTCCACAGAAGCTCTAATTGACTAACGGTCTTACATGTCCCAGACCTTGAAATGTGCCGCTGTTACAAGATAATGGTTATTTGCTTCACCTGTGAGCGCTAGCAATGTTTTGGCTCATTGGTGTAGATGTAATGTGAAAGAGGTCGCTTGCAGTGAGAGCATGCACAGAATTACTCATCACTCGCTATGTAGGTTTTTTTTTATTTATTTTATATAGAACATTTCCTGTGTTGTTCAGTCTCACCTCTTTGTAACCTGACTTCCAGCAGCAGCAGCAGCAGCAGCAGTGTTGAGTTAAAAAACATCTCAGATAAATCCACTATGTAGTACTTGCACTTCTAAACGGCAGACAAAGTAGAAGAAGAAGACACTCGAGAGCAGATTCAGCAGTGAAAGCCAGATATTTTTTCTGTGTGGAGTCGTTGCAGACCAAACCCTTCATACTTGCGTTCATCAAGTGGCCACACACACAACTTCAAATGACCACTAATGTTGCTCTGTGTCTGTTCGGCAACAGTTTGCTGAGGCAATATGTGATATGAACTAACGTCTGTCAGGGGGTTGTGTGTTTACGTCTGTCCCCATGTGGCTGTAATAATCAAGCTTTAATGCTAAAAAGCTAATGATGAGTTTTGGTTATTTCCAGCACCTGCTGCTTGTTGTCATAATGGTTACATCTCTCTGCGACTTCTTGTTCAGAGAGTAGACGACCTGATTAACACATGACTGTTTTATTGACACACTGACGAGGAAATCTTTTACATTAAACTCCTAAAGTCTTTAATTGATATTCTTTATGCTGAAGTTCACATGAAACAGATGTCAGAGCGCTATTTGATTCTGGATGTGCACGTGTTTGAGTGAAAACACAAAGCTGGGGGAGGGACTCGCCACGGATCGATTGGCGTTCATGTGTCACCGACACTGGCCACTGTGTTTCTCTCAAGAATGGCTTGATAATCTTCTGATTTCATTGTGAGCTGCACAGATTCAAGGTACTCTGTGCCAGACACAGCAAAGCGCCCCCATAACATAACTGAGCCTCGTCCATGTTTCACAGTGGGGATGATGTTCTTTTCTTTGAAAGCTTCATTTTTTTTCCTCTGCGAACAGCGAGCTGATGTGACCAAAAAGCTCCAATTTAGTTTCATCTGTCCAAAGGACATTCCTCCTGAGGCTTTGTGGGTTATTCGTGTATTTTAGCAAACTCCAGGCTGTTTTTATGTTTCTACTTTCAGAAGTCGCCTATTTTAGCCCACTCTCATTCAGGAAGTGATGTATGGTGCGACTGGACATTATTGTACTTTGATTTTTTTTTTTTTTTAGGTCAGCTTGTATCTGTTTTGAAGTTTTCCTTCTTCTATCATTCAAACTATCCTTCTGTTCAATGTGGAGTCAGTTTTCCTCTTGTGGTCGGCTCCCTGGACAGTAATAATCTTAATAATATTAGCATCTGTGAAGAACATCAAGCTGCTTAGAGATGATCTCTCAGCATCTACCTTTCTTTCATTTCATTACCCTCTTGTCCATGTTCAGTGTAATGATACCAAACTCCATACTAATACTAAGAGGAGACAATAATCAGCTTGTGAGGTACCAATAACTTTTCCAGGCCATTTTAGATCTTATGATAAGAAATAAGCAAGAATTCAGCTCTTTTCATGGCTTCTTTATTTTAGTCTTTGCAAACCAAAGACACAGATATGCATGACAGGATTTTAATTTCAGCACTTTTCAGGAAAGTTGAAAATCATTATAATTATTAGGAGTAGTGGCACCAATACATTTGGCCACGTCATCAATCCGTCTTTCACTCAGGTTTTTAATGTGCGTATTAAAAATGCGCATGAAAACTAGACGTGCGATTTACGTTATTATCATAATATTATTTGTCACATGCCACATGAAAAATATTGCATATGGTGAGAAATATCGTAATATTCGATATTATCAAATATCGGCCCAAGCCTCTAATAAAAACAGCTGGATGGAAACACTAGTAATGCCTGTTTGATACAGACAAACATCAGTTCACTTGCATGTTCAAGTGATGAGTTCATGCACCCACTTTATAAGGTGATAATGTGTCAAGGTTGTGTCAACATTGTTTTGTTGCCCTCAAGTGGCTGAAAAGGCTTCTTGTACAAAATCTTTTTACCACAATAACATTTTAAGATAATATAGTTTTTTTCATTATAACCATCTACACATTATCAACCTCAGATATGAGCATAAAGTATGTTTAGTTAATGTGCTTATAGCATACAATGTGTTTATATAGGCTGGGGATATAGGAGTGTTAAGTGCTTCTTCTACTGTCCCTATAAAACTTTTCTGATCATTTTAAATTACAAACTAACTCTGCTGTTTGGTTGAAGCTTTCACTTATCTTAGTTATAGCTTTACGTTTTTTTCCCCTCCTCTGCAGCCATACAATTTTTTAATAAAAACAGAGTAATAAGACAGTATGTCAAAAAGGTTACATTTGTCAGCACTGGGGTGGGTATGATGATATAAGATGAATTATTTTCCAAGCAGGAAACTGTATAATTACATTAACGCAAATGCAATAATTGAAATAATCAGCATGAAACTGAAGAAAACTAATTGGATTTTTAATTAAATACCTTAACATGTTTTATTTTCTCATATAGGAGGGATGTTATCACCTAAGTGAATGTAAACCCAGTGACAGATGACTAAAATGTGAGTTTCACATACATGAGAGCAGGGACAGAAAAGACAAATGAGGTAATTGTTCATCTGTTTTCATAATGCGAGACACTACATCGGATGTAAATATGAAAACTGCAGGTATTCTTTAGACGGGTTTATTCCTCACACTTTGAATAATCAAAAGGTTTCCATGCCTGCCAAGAACTTGTTTTGGAGACTATATTTTTCATGATCAGTGGATGTTTGAGTTGAGCACCACTCCCATGAGAATTAGTCTATGAAGTGGAGTAGTTTTGATGCAGGTATACCTTCAGAATTTCAATTAGCAGCAGATTCAGTGCTCTGATTCATCAAGAGATTGGATCTTTTTATAAGAACAGCGTGTGTGAGCTCTCTCACCGTAACCAAACAGCCCCACCCCAGAAGTGATGGAGGGAGAGTAATCCTGCGGCATTATGCATTTAAGATGGTTAATGCGATGGACTAAAGAAATAGACGATGCAGGGAATGCCACGCATGGAATATTCAACAACTGGAGATCTCACTTAGAAAATGGCATTAGGGGGTGTGTGTGTGTGGGTGTGTGGGTGGGGGGGCGCCTCGTGACTCACCTGGTTGAGCACATGCCACATGGGCTCGGTCCTGGACGCAGCGGCCATGTGTTCAAGTCCAACTTGTGGAACCTTTGCTGCATGTCATCCCCTCTCTCTCCCTGACTTTTCCTGTCTATCTCTCACTGTCCTTAGAATAAAGGCAAAAATGAAAAAAAATAATGTTTGGCAGCTCTTCTAAGTAATAGGTAAAAAAAAGAATATTGATATGTCACTATTAACTCATGCCCATTTTCATAAGTTAAATTTGTATTGCTTCAAAAAAGTGTAGTGGTGCATTGTACCTGGTGGAATGGCTACAATGTTGCATCAAATCTCTTTTTAAATGTTGCAAAATACAGTCAACACCATAAATATTTGGACAGTTAAACATTTTTTTATCTTAAAGGTCCCATATTTTCCACCTCTGCTGTGTTTTATTTGAAGTGTTGATCCATGACAAGATATATTTGTGGTTTCAAGAACCAAAAGAAGAGAGGAGGCTTCGAGCCTCTCCTCTGATTGGCTGACTGTTGTCTGAGTGATCTAATAAAAATATAGCAGATTTCAGGTAAAAACACTCAGAGAAAACGAATCCTGCAAAGGTTTGGATGGTGGGTCCAGGTGGGCGGGGCTTGGTGACTGCTTTGTTGTGACATCACAAAGTTGCAGAAGTCCTGACGGCTGGTTTTAAGGCTCAGTTTCTGAATACAGGCTGTGTGCATTTCTCTGTGGCCTGAGGCTTTGATACTTTCACAGTATTAATATAGAAGCTAGACCTGCTTTATAATCAAAAAAGACATGGAAATCTCACTTTATACAATATGGCACCTTTAAGTCTCAGTGCCTCAGCACATTCAGTTTGAAATGAGATGGATCCCACCTCAAAGTGCCAAATCTATTTGAATAGTTTTACATCAATATAGAAAGAACTGTGTGGGAGACATATTTGGCACATGATGCCTGAAGTTTAGGGCAAAAGTTATTGGACACACGCCTGCTAAGTGTTATTTGGGGAGCTGTGAGTTGTTTCAGTGTCAGTTCATGTGCAAGAGAGCTCAGATTTGATTGAGAGCTGCCATTTAGATTCAGCTGGAGTTGTCTGTCTATGAGAGGAGCAAAATCTATAGGTAGATAGTCGGTTTGACAAAATCAGCAATAGAACTGTAGGATTGTTAAAGTTTGCTTTGTTAGCATGCTAAAGTTGCTAATTAGCATTAAACACAAAGTACAGCTGAGGTTGATTACAATCACTGTATGTAATTACCAAAGTGATTATGATTCATCCTGAGGAAAACATGAATGTGTGTATCAAATCACATGCAAATCCCCCCAATCTGACTCAGAGCCATGGATGTAAACCTCACAGTGGCAGCACAGGAGAAGTCAGGGTATCGTCAAAAACACATTAAGATTCATCCTCTGGGGATCATGGATATCTGAACCAAATGTCACAGCAGTTTATCAAGTAAGTGACGAGACATTTTACTAAAAGCCAAGAGTGTCAGCCTGATGGTGCCGGTGGAGGGAAAAGTCAGGGTGTCAACAAGGTCAACAGGATTCATTCTATAGGGACCATTGTTCAACTTCATCAAATAGTGGACTGACCAATCAGCCGACAGACATTGCCATCCCCCTTTTTTTTTATTGTTACTGGGGAACTTCATCTCTTCATATCTACCAAAGCCGACGATTTCATCCTCTGAGACTTAAATGCTTTCTGTATATTCCCTTAATGAGTTTTAATTTCATGCCAGCTTTTCTCACTCTTTAATTCTGTGTGACTCCCGTGGTTAACAACATGCTGGATTACTTTACTGTATGTTTGCTACATTGAGGTTTTAAAAACCAAGAACAAGAACAACGTATTATTTGACAAGTGGCTGCTTTCTCAATTTTGAGAGAAAGACCTTTAGATTGTGCCTCTCCTCCTCCTCCTTCTGCTGTTCTTTTTTTTTGTTTTTTTCTTTCATTTCCTCGTTTGTAATTACATCCCACTTCTCCACAGTGAGTGACAACACCAAGCTGGCCCTGATGAACAAATACAAGGACAACATCATCGCCACAAGTCCCATCGACAGCAACCACCAGCAGAACACGCTGCTTCCGCACAACACGTCCACCAGCCAACGCAAACGCCTCTCCAGCAACACCCGCGGTGAGTCAATCTCTCCCATAGATTTACCCTTTGTCAGAGAATGGAAGAAAATAGACCACATTTAAAAACCAGCACTCCATGAGCCTACCCTTCTACCAGCAGCAACAAGCAGCGCCTTGTGTGGTTAAATTGTTTTATTATTTTTTTTTACATCCAAATGCTGTGAGTGTCAGGTAAAAGCCTCGTTTCACCGGGTGATCAGAAACACAGCTCTAAATAAATGCTAACGCCGCTCCGTAACCGTTTGATGTGCAAATAAGCAGCTGTTTGCTAACAAGTTTCTTATATCAACTTAAAAGGAGATGATGTGTCAGTGTCGTGTACACGACTTGTTCATCAACAACATCATCACTGATCCCCACTAGATTCAAGTTGTTTTTGTTTTTTTTTAAAGTTTGGGGCTAACAGAAGACATCAGCTCTGCAACTGGTTTAATGCTCAGTGGTAGTCTGTTCCAAACTGGCTGTTCGGCTGTTGAAATTAAAATCCTCCAGACACATATTGCACCACTTAAATTTCAGTGCTGATAAAAAAAAGAAAAAAAGAATCCATGCCCCTGGAGGACAATAAAAAGCACATAAAATAAAACAACGATTTTTGATTATTAGAATTTAAATTTGAGTTCCAGTATTAGGTGCAAAGGGCTGTTGCCCCATAGACACCCTTATTTCTAATTCATACCACATCTTTGGTCAGAACCTTATAGATTCTACTCGGAGGCCATGTCACACTCAAACATGCATTTTTGCTGTGAAAATGTTTTTCTTTTTTTGTTTTTTTTCTTCAATAAAAATGCACCATGAAGTGGAGTTATTAGGTGTTCATCCCGCAGCAGCGTTGATCAATGCCCAGCTGCACGTTATATTTTATCTCCACATGTTTATCTCTCACAGCTCTGCAGCCTGCGAGAAGTCACGGTGAGTCACATGAATGCCACCACACAGGTTTAATCTTTTACACTGTTATGAATGCCATTTTGGAAAACTCCCAAGGACCCCCGAGACATTTTTCAAACTCGTTGGACAGAAGCTATCAATGATACAGTAAAGAACACAAAGCTATGTCAGAAAAGATCTATGCAGCACACCGAAGATAAACCCAGTGTGACCGTGCGTATTATCCCGAGAGATGAATGCCCTTTGATCAGATAACAAATAAAAACATTTAGCGCGAATGTGGCGTGAATGTGAAACCTCAAACGTGCACATCTCTTTTGTTTTCTTTCCTCAATAATCTTATTCATCAGTCAATCAACCCGTCTGATGTACTTTTCGTTCTTGTTGCATTCATACGTACTCCCCGCCGTCATCATCACAAACTCCCATCTCCCCCTCGTGTTCCTCCTTCTGCCTTCCTGCCCGAGCTGTGACAGTGTAGGAGTCGAGCAGGAGACTGGGGAACAAAGGAAATGAAGAGAAAAAAGAGGGTACTGTTCATGAAATGGGAGAGACACCATCCCATTATGATAAACAAGAGAGAAAAAAAAAAAGAAGGCGACGACATTTTCAAAATGTCATTTTGAAAATTTTTGTTGACCTCAGACCATTCACTTTCCTCCACACTTGGCTGCATGAGTGCTTTATTTTCAGCCCAATTAAAAACAATTCGGTGGTGTTAAACTTCGGAAACAAACTTCTTTCCTAACACAAAAAAGAAAAAGAGGGAGAGAACACAGTGCACAGCAATTCAATTCAGAGGTTTTCTCCAGACTGTCAGGAAGGATTGTTATTTTAAAACTGTTCACAATCAGTGTATCATCTGTACATTTTACTTTATTTTATTTATTTGTTCTCCCGTTCATTCCTTTTCAATCCCGTTTCATTAATCATTGGTAGAAACCCAACATGATTCTTGGAACATTCTGGTTCCTCGGTGTAAAAGCGCAAAAGCACATTTCTTTTTCCTCATTTTGTTCTTTTCTCTGTGCCTGTCTGGCTCTGACCTTGACTGTTTCACTGCACACCTGCAGCCACCCTGGCTTTCCTGGACGGTGACAGCTCGAACGAGAGAAACAAGAGTAGAGGAAGGCAGCATTCACCTAACCCTTTTATCAATAATAGAGGGTGAGAACAAAGAGTGAATGCCCTGAACACCTTACAGAAAGCGGCTCTGGGCACCGTTGGCAGCTCCAAATGGTGGTGTTGGAATTTTTAAAACGTCAGTGCCCAGAAATCAGGCAGACAACACAGTGATGTTTTCCTTCCCGGCTGGTCTGTGAGGCTTTATACAAAAGTAATGAAAGAGTCAGAAGGTCCAAGGCCGTCATTAGCACTGTGTCAAAAACAAAAAGAGAGAGAAACTGCCTCCTCATTCATTTTAATGAGCTAACTGTGTTGCCACAGCCGGGGTCCTGACACAAAGGGGGGTTGTCGTCTGGCAGGGGCATCGTGTAACATTCTGCGCTGGTCAGTCAAATACATGAAGGTGAAGGGGTTTTTCTAAGAAAAAAATGATTACGGCATTCAGGATATATTTGAACACTCGAGACAACTTGTGTCTTCATACCTCTTGACAACAACCTCTCGTTGCCGTGCACGCAGAGATGGCTGTCTCTGGGACGTAAGAAAGCAAAGCCGGTGTGAAGTCGAGAAACTTTCTAAGGAGAAGGTCAGAGTGGAGGGTTGGGCAGAAAAGGCATCGTACCAGGAGCCTGTCTTCTACCAACAGCCGACTTGAGCTTCTTTTAACAACAATGATAGTTTTAATTTTTTCCTAAACCGTGTGATTGGAATTCTTGTGAGCTGAAGAAAACACGATGTTTAGGAGTTCAAATGTCTCAGGCGGAGGTGTTTATTGTAAGTCTGCAGAGAAAATGATGAGCAGTACAATGACAGCAGGTGAACCGTAGTGGTGCCACACCAAGTTCTGAGGATGCCTTCCCCAGGTATCACGTGGTTGCCACGTTTTACCGCATCTTATAAGGCAAAACTGTATTCTGACCATTTATATGTGAAGATGCTATTAGACACTAAAATCTGTATTATCACACGTTCTTACCTACTTAATATTACATGAGTTTTGTCCATTCCCCTGTTTAGCTAATCCTTGACAATGACTGGATTTGGGGAGTATTCTCTCAGTTTATGCTTCTCTCTACCTTCTTATCTATAAGACCTTGGTTACCCCAGCAACAGAGGATAACAGTAGTCTCTGGATGTCCACTATCAGTCATAACGGTGTCTCAACAGTAACCCATAGTAAGATATAGTGAAGGTCATTATAGCCTGAGCTCTGGGACAATAAGTGAGGCCTGGGAAAACAAGATGAACGCTGGAACACAAACTGAACCAAACTCCAACCACAGAGTGAGAAAGGTGCTCACAACCGTGCACGCCAAAGCCAACAGAGGTGCCAGATCAGTAGCTGCTCAGATGGGTTCTTCTTCTTGGACTGATACTTTTACTAAGCTTTGCTAATGTTGGTGAGTCACCACTCAAATGTCAATGTCAAACGAAACCCTCTGTCAGTCTATCTCAATCTTTTTAAATCCACTTAAAATGGAAAAAAATTCTGCTTGCAGAGCCAAAGTAAAAAAAAAGTCGATGTGAAACTTCCACGTCCATTTCCACTTTGTTGAACTCTGACACTTTAAATTGTGTCGTTAGCCAGTAACAGACGATCTCGACAATGCTGATCTTTGAAGGAACCGAGAAGTGACCACGCAAGTGCAAGCTGGTTAGTGCAGACAGCTGTTGTGACTTCCTGTTGCTGACATTCTTACACTGGTTAGCATATGAGTGGCCACAAGCTACATTAGTTTCGCTAACTAGCTCTTCCGGTAGTTTGTAAGTCATCAAGCTTCCATGTATTTGAGCTAAAATGTTCCAGCGGCACGGTGGTCTCTGGTCTTTGTCCCTCACTCAGCGAGTGTAGTTTTCTGTTGATGGTCAGTCATTTCACATGAGATGCCATTACAGTTCAAACTATGGCTGAGCATTATTCATAATATTAATTTGTTCATTGACAACATTCAATAGATTCGGTGGATGTTCATACATTTTATGTCACCGGCTGGTGAGTTGAAACTCCTGTCTGCAGTAATTTAGAGGGAAAGCAGCTGAATAGGAACATTTCACTCCACAAAATCTCTGATACAGACTCTAGTCAGAGAGGAAGTTGTTACAAATTCATAGAAAATTAACATTTACATCATGGAAAAGTTTCCCCCGTGTTACCAATTGGTGTGCCTAAAAAAAAAAAACAGCACTTCCATCAAATAATGATAAAAAGATCCAGTCCGTGTCAGTCGATCAGCAACTTTGTTCTTTGTGCAGAGTCTTTGTTCGTTGTTGTCTTCTCCCTCTTGCTCTTGACACTTTGCCTCCGTCTCTTTCTCTGATTGTGTCTCTGAGAGTTTGGCCATGTCCTTGGTCTGCTTTGTTGTCTCGGAGCCGGCCGACCCTCTGACACCGCAGCTCCACGCTCAGAGAAAGAAAGGGAAGATGTCCACCACCCAATTAATTTAGTAACACTTTGTTTATTTCGACTGCTAGAATACAGAACATGAGGGCAAATAGCTGGAAAATATCCCTGCGCATTGATTGTAATTATATATTATCTTGCTGCCTCAGTTGTATCAGCTCGGTGTGTGAAAATAGAAGGATTCGCGTCCTAATGTATGCAACACACACACACACACACACCACTTTTTAAATTTCAGTGCTTCCAGGTACAGGACGGTCTTCTCCAGACCGAGCTGCATAGGAATGAGGCTTTCCAAGCAGGCAATTAGATCTGCTTCATGCAGTTTTAAGTCGCTGTTGTTGGCGTTTCCAGTCGACTATTTTCATCTTTGTCATAAAATATGCACAAACAGAACTATTGTGGTCCTCAGTGGACAGCTCCTGTGCATGTGCGAGGCGGCCGTTATTGGTAGGTAAGGTAATGACTCCTTTCTCCTTTTTCTTTTTTTTTGCTGAAGATGCCCAAGTGCCTCTGTTCACTCCATATGTCAGCACATTTAATGGACTCCAGAGTTACTTCAAAAAGCAACTCAAAGTACCAAAGATGCCAAATGGGAGGAAGCGACGTCTGAGGGAGTGACTGTGGCCCCAGGCCTGCGGGCCCCATCACTATTTTATGATTATTATTGCTGAGCGGGTGCATGATTTATTCCTAATTAGTTGTGGGCCGTACAATACAAAGTTAACGATGTTTAAATGAGTGGATAAGGTTAATAATGCAATGGTGGAATTACTGTGTGAATGGTGAAGACAACACAAATGTAGGAAATTAGCTCAGTTATGCATTTATGGTGTATTAATATTAATATATAAATATTCATGGATTTATAGAGTCAGGTGTAATAACACTAACAAGAAGCCTGTCAAGAGGAGTTTCTTTTGTAGAAATGATTTTCTTTTTGGGGAGAAAACAACTGTAACTAAGCAAAAAACTGTGTAAGCACAAACACACATTTATCCTGCTGAACAAAATGAGATCAAGGACTATATTTGTTTCTTTAACAGGTGTTGACATACTGTATCTATAGAATATGAAATGCAACCTAATTGGATTAAATTGTGACATTAATGTGGGAATAATTTGATATTACATAAATTTAGATATGTTCAAAAAATATCAAAGAAAGAAAGAAAAGAAAGTTGGATCTAAAAAGTCTTTGTTCCAGAGAGAGGAGGAAGGTAGAGAGTGTGTGTGTGTGTGTGTGTGTGTGTGTGTGTGTGTGTGTGTGTGTGTGTGTGTGTGTGTGTGTGTGTCTCTCTACATCACACATGCAGCTTATGATTGCAGCTCCATTACTGGGTCTGTTCTCCTGCCACTGTTGCCAAATGTCTTTAATGTCAGATTTTCCAGCCGCCCGCTGGTCAGCCATGTTTTGCCCGACACCAGTTCTCATGTCTGCTTCCTCTCAGTCTGTGATCCGTGGCCCTTTGAGACATAAATTCTGTCCCATTAG